GCGAGTAGAATATAAACCGTGTCGATTTAGGGGGCACTACGTACCCCCTAAATCTTCACAATTTTGTCGCTTCGCTCCGTTATTTAGGTTTAATTATTTTAGGGTTATTTTTTAGTTATTATTTAAAGTGATAATTTAATTTCTGTAAGTCTAAAATGACAACTACCATGGAATGTATTATTAAAGCTATTTAAAAGAAATGTGTTCATATTACAGAGATAAATAATCACGAAGTTGATTTATACAATAGAGTTGAATCTAAAGAGTTATTTCAAATTACGGACGACACTGTCATATTAATCAAACCTAGAGTTAGTAAATATAGTGACGATTGGGTTAGATATAGTATCAAAGATAATAATTATAAAAATGACATTTAGGAATAAACCACTAAAGAAATATCATGATAATGATTGTAAAGATATAGATGAATTTTTAGAACAATTCATAAAAACTTTCATATTATATTATATATTTTAGTATTTCTCAGAGCTTCTCATATTATTTCAGATGTTGTCATATTTTTATAAGATTATTTCAAATTAATTATTTTTATTTTTATAAAATAATCTCAAATGATTTCAAATGATTTCAAACCAAAAATAAGACTAATATATGCTGGGAACATATAAAAGTCTATTAAATAATTGGTTACGAATAAGTTGTCTTCATTTAGGATTGGATTTTTCTAGTTAAGTTTTCTCTTGTTTTAATATCAAATGTCTTACTAAATTCGAAACTAGGCTTTAATTCTAGTAAGTTAAATGTATAAGATTCTCCCGCGTAAAGTTTCTTATATAATTCAATTGGATTTTCGTTATTTTCTAATAAATTGTTTGGAATTCCTTTCATTCTCATATGTAAAGTATGTTCTTGTTTATCGTTTGTTAATACATCTATATAAGCTTTTTACCTAAGAAGAAAGATTCTTTTGAATATTCATCCCCAGATAATTCATCAAAATCTGGATGGAATTGTTCTAATTCACCTCCTCTTAATGTTTTACCATATATTTCTTTATATTTTTGTTCTAATAGTTCTATCTTATTTTTGTCTATATGCACTGAATCAGTATCTTGATAATAAACTGTTTTTCAAAAGTCGGTACTGAGGTGTCCCGATTTTTTGGATTTATTTTGTTTATTATTTTTGGGAATCGTTTTTTTGTAATAAATTCACTTATTTTTTCCAAGTAAAAAAGTGAAAAACAGTCTTCAAAAATTATTTTTTTATTTGGAGAATTTTTAAGCATTAAAAAATTCCATATAAAATTTGAAATAACGGGATTTTTGTTTCTAAAAAACATGTGAATTGTCCCAAAAGTGCATTTTAGTACAGAAGCAAATAAATTTAATGTCAATCTTTTTTATTATCAAACATTTTATTATTTTATAAAATATTCAGAAAACATAAGCTTAGTTCCGAGATTAGTATGCTTAATAGTGTTGTCACAAGAAAAATAAAAATAACAAAATGATTTGATAACTTATCTTTG